AATCTACCACTCTAAGAAAAAGACTTAAATGACATTTTTTTTTATTCCATAGATTTGAGACACTTAATTTGTTCAATATTCTTCTATAATTATCAAGATCCAATAAACTTTTTTTTTAATTCTAAAACAAATGCTGAAATGCCATAGTCCAGTAACATAGAGATAATAATATTAAAGTAATTATTCTTCCTTTCATAAAACATGATTGAATTATCTGGAAAAAATCACAATACGGTACCAGAGTTAGAGTGGGTAAGACCTTGCTCTGTATTTAAGTTCCAGCTTATTAAAGTAATACTTGCTTGTCATTCTGCATAGCCAAGCATATAGGCAGATATAATTTGATAACAAATATTTTATGATGATTGTAACTATAAATATTTCTAATTTTACAAGAATCTAATATTATTCCAAACCTTATAAAATCCACATCCCCAAACCTCCCTTCTTTTTAAATATAATTTTGATTTTTTAATAAAATATGTAGTTATTCAACTAGTTTGAATAAGAAATATTTACATATTTACACTGTATATTGCCTGCATAAAAAGTAAAGTTAAACTGACTAACCTGTTTTCATTATTTTAACTAAAAGTGGACAGTTTATACCTATTACTACATTGCTTGGAGAACAATCAAATGTAATTGAAGCCAAGTAATTCACACTATTTATAGACATTTTTTCAGAATCACCTGCTTTGTATAGATTGTTTTAAGTGCAGTTGTAAAGTTTTGATTTTTAAGAGTTCCTTTGAAGACATCACAGATGTTGGCTTTGCTAATAATGCTGGAAAGCATAGGAGGTTCAAAGTTGCAAAAATGTTTAACACATATAAAAAATAACAATGTGCTTCTCCATTAAACTTGGCTATTTTCAATTGTCAATAAACTATAATGAAAGCCCAAAGTCCATAAATAGTTGTTTCTAGACACTTAAGCTTCTTGAGTTTGCATATGTGTGTGTTTGGGCGGGGGGGGGGGGGGGGGGATGCAAGTAAATGCACACTGGAAAATGTTACATATTATAGTTTTTGCATCGTTACCATGAATAAAAATTTAGGTCATTTTTCAATATTTTATGCTGCTTAAAATTCTATTGGAATTTCACAGGGTCATGCACACATATACATACACATACAATCTGGATATTACAAGTAAGGATACAGAATTTTGGTTCTGACTTTGCCTTGGATTTGTGTACTACATTTACTTTCAATTATAAACATATAGTAATTATAAACTTTCTAACAAAATATAAGTGGTCTCTACTATTCCTGATACAATTTTAAAATTTCAAGAGTTCAGAAATTAATCTAATTTTTAAAAATATTGAAATATTAAAACTGTGCTACAAGCAATATGAGATATACATGTTAATAACATGTCAAAATTATAGTGTTTTTCTACATTGCTTTAGTTTCCACTGGATCAGGATGCCCTTATAATACTATGATATGAAGTAACTGTAAACATTAATATGGAAGACCAACTGAAATATCACAGGAGAAAGATATCTTGAATCTAAATCTATCTAAAGATCTAACAAATATTAACACAAACAATGAAACTGCCAAATCAAATTTTATTTTTAATGAGTATGCATATATTTAACTGAAAACCATCACCATCTTTCCTTTTAGTTAGTCAAAAAGTTCTTTCAAAATGTCCCAGCATGAATGGAAAACGCTCATCCTAACTCCCCAGTGATTCTACCCTGGGTGATGACTAACTGTATTTCCCACTCAAGATCTCATCTATTAATACTTTATGTAGCTGATGCAGAATTTTGTGCTTGTTTTTCCAGCACGCTAATTAGTTTCAACATATAAATATAAACTTAGTTTGTTATATGGTTATTTCCCACCAAAAGAGGATAGCACTATTAGTTTTCTTAAGAAACTTATCACAATAATTCAAGGGAACCTGTTCTTGAATCCCACTTTCTCTATTTCCCTCTGACCAAAATAATATGTGCCTATACGAAAATTCGGTTTACCCGAAGAAGCGTAGGTGCATTGATTCAGTTCAGGAAACATAAGGAACAGCCCATCATAGGTTTTTCACTGCATGAAGTTAAATGAACATTAAGAGATTCTGTGAATTGCAAAAATGGACTGACTAACCTGAACTGGGATCTGCTTCCAAAAAAGTTACATTGATATCAAATGCTGAGTAAGACATGAACACTATTTTAAAACTGACTTAAAAAAAAAAAATGAAGATGGAAACCTTCATGGTTAACCTCTCAACTCTGTCTTAAGAGAGTTTCACTTACAGTTAGTAAAAACCATTAGAAATGAATGATACTGCTGGTAAGTTTCTAACATACAAACTAATTTGTGATGGAGCATTAAAAGTTCACCCCTGACCTTGAAAAGTAGAAGCTGGATTTTAAGTTTGTGATAGAAGAATGTATCTCAGGCTAACGCTGAAGAACCAGTGATAGCTCAGCTGCAAAGGCACATGAAGTATGCGCCTCAAATTGCCATTTACGTGGGATCTTACCTAAAGCGTTATAAAAAACAAAAACAAAAACAAAAACCAAACACGTTCCAATCCTTCACATTAATATCTGCAGTTACCTTCTAGGACTTGTTAAACCAATCCCGCAAAGGAAGAACACTACGTAAATATTATACTGACCCAATGACACTTTCCAGAAAGCTGGAACGCAGGTTGCGATAGCTACAGAAGAAAATTCACAACTCCCTTAATTGTAAAGTATCTTTTAACAATTTCACAACGTACAGATTGTTAAGGGCCTTAAGGATTTGCCCGAAAAACTTCAGTTCGTCGGGACTGCTACAGTTTACTTGGCAGTCTATGCTTTCCAGCATCTGCGTTTAGTAAAGTCCCCTTTTGCGTGGCTACTCAAGTTATGCCCACGTAGATCAGCGCCTCCGGCGCGCACCCTCGCACACCAGCCTCAAGCACGTAGAGAACCAACATTACCCCGGTTGCTGTGTGTTTCCAAAAACTTGCCTCCCCTAATACTCAGCTGGAGGAGAGCTTACTTTCCACATTGGCAACTCAGAGATTCTATTTAGATTAGCACCACACGAACACAACTACTATTAAAAAATCGTTTTTTTCCTCAAGAGTTTGATCATGTATTTATTTACCAATCTCTGACACATTCCTTAAAATCATCTGAATTCCTAGATTGTCTTCTTCCCCAAGAAAGGGAAATTTTTACCATTTGGAATAGGGTGCTATTTAAAGAACTCTGAAATCAGAATAATAAAAAAAAAAAAAACTAAAACTTTTTTTTTTCTCATACGTGCTGCCAAGTTCCACTGCAAGTTCCAAATATTGTGCAATAATTTGGAAATCCAGTTAACGATGGGAAAAATCGAGCCACTCGGAGTCGGGAACTTGCAAGGGAAAAGTCAAGGAGCGGCGGCCGCACGCACGCCCAGCGGACGCTGCATCCCAGGGTGCACTCCCCTCCCCACCTCTCAGATGGAAGGTCACGCTTCGCAATCGATTTCACATACTGTCACTTGTCCCTTTTTTCTTAACCCTCTGGTAAACTAGTTGGAACCTTGGAGAGCTTAACGCCGTTGGCTGCAGGGTTGCGCTTGGAGAAACACGTGCCCCCAAGTAACAGGACGAAAGCAGCCCCACCGAATCTGGCGGCGGGGAGCCAGCGAGGGCAAGACGTATACCATATTCCCTGCTTCCTCACAGTAGTGTGAGAATCTTCCCAGTCATCTCCCCGCCCCCTTTCGCCGACAGTGCCCGGCGCGCCCTTACCTGAACTATCGCTTTTCCTTTTGCCGCCACTTCTCTTCTCCGCCTCCGCGGGTGACAGCGCCTGGCGGCCGTAGTCCCCTGGCGCGCACGCAGCCCCGGTCGGGGTGCTGGAACCCAAGCTGGAAGAATTGGAACACAGGACCGGCGGGCTGCTCCCCAGCTCCGGGGGCCCTCCCGAATCCGGCTGGAGGCAGAGGCTGTGACGAGCCGCACTCGGGGGGGAGGACATCTGCGGGAGGTGCCAGTTGGTTTGCAGAGCTTGGTGCTGCTGCTGCTGGTGGTGGTGGTGGTGATGATGGTGGTGATGGTGGTGCCCCCTGTGATGCTGGCTGGCAAACATGCCCTCCTCGTTGGGGTATCCCGCGATTATGCAAGACGAGGAAGAAGTGGAGAGCTCGGGGTAGGACATATGGTCAGATCTTCCATGGAGGGCGAGAGAGGACTGGGAAAACGGGTGCAAGCCTTGCGCCGTGGCGTGAGGGCTGCGCAGGCAGCCAAAGAGCGGGTGTTCCATAGCATGCAAGTCTCAGGTTCCAGGCAGAAGACTTCACGATGGTTCCAAACGCTACCACCCTGTCACTTTTCACTAGAAATCGTGTTTTCCCCCTCCCAAATAAATAGCCGTTTCTGCAGAGCTCGGATAATCCCGGTCCTGAGCCCTAGCGGCCAGACTCCTTTACATATAAACACTCGGACCTGGAGAAGCTTCCCTTCGAGCTACTCAGATGTCAAGAGTAGGAGAGGTTGAAGCCAAAAGAAGGTGGTCCCAGAGAACTGCTTTCAGGGGGAAACGGCTCTGAGAGGTTATAAATAGAGTGTAATGTGAGCTGGGGGCTGGCTTAGGAGCCCGGCGCTGACCACATGCAAACTCCCTCCAAAACTCCCGCTCAGTCTGCGCCACGCGCTCCCTGTTCCACTTCCTATCTCCCGCTGGACGCACGCAGTGCGTCCACGCCCGCCCGCCCTTGCCAGCCGCCAAGGCTGCAAGCGGCGCGCCTGGCGCCTAAACCCAAGCCCGGGCGTACAGCGGTTCTCCCCTCCCGGGCCCGGCGGCCAAGGTGCTCCGCGGCGCACGTCACCCTAACTCTGCACTCAGTGTCCGGCCCTCTCCCTTCTCTTGAGAAAGAGGTCTTGTCAGTGCCACTTGGGCACTGGCACCTGCAGGATTGCTAGGGGTACGGCTAGCTCTTGAGGAGCACGAAAGGGGAAGTAGGGTTAAGGAAAAAGATCAGAGCTAGCCTGGCGCGCGCTCAGAAGTGTCTCAAACTCTACATCAACGCGTGCCCTGGGCGCAGCGGCGCGCCTAGCTTTTCGCAGCTGTCGTCCCTGGGTGGGTTGTTAATGGGCTCGTATCTGGCGCCCGAGGTTTCTGGGAAATTCTTCTCGGCAGAAAAGCGCTATTCACAGCGCGAAAAGAGAGAAACCTGGTGGGGTAGGTGAAAACCGAGGAGCGGCGAGAGTTGCAGTTATCTAGAGACGCGGGCATCCTCACCTGCGGTGCCAGGTGGGGTCTTTCTTCCTGGGCTTTCCGAATATGCCCTCCTTGCTTTGCACAATGTCCTTCGCCCTGCTTTCCTGGTCCGAGTCAATCTCCTAGCCATTTGTCCACCCAAAACTTCGGCCAGGAAAATCCGAAGTGATACCGTCCTGGTAACATGTGATGTGTATAGGGCACGCACATTTTCAGTCTCTCCCCTCAGGAGCCAGCCCAGGTCTCCTCACCTCCCTCCAGAAATTCACCCTCTTCCGCTCAAAACTAAATCAGCTAATGGTACAGCTTCTACCCCCGCAAACCGCCATGGTTCCACTTACTGGGAAATTTTATGCTTTGATATCCACCAAAGCTCACTAAAGCTGGGTGCTGCTTCAGGTCTCCCAGGTTACAATCTTGCATCATACAAAATGAGTTAGAAAACTTGCCGCCAGTTAATTAGTATGAGCGACGGCTGGTCTTTAATACTGCCACTTGCTTGAGGGGTGACACTGTCTGCTGGGGGCAGAGTCGTTTACACAAAGCAAGCAAGCAAGCCGCACTTAATGAGCTACAGGAACAGTCAAGTCCTGCCTGGGACGTGTGGCATCGGAAGATCCGCGCGCACCTATACTGCCCAGGACCCTCAAGATGCCACCAGCAGTGTAACCCCGTTATTTTCATTGTCTCAGGTGTCCTGAGGATGGCTACTAGGTCTTTGAAGTTGTTAATGGGATTAATGAGGACAGCAAACCAAGCCAGCCATCTGGTTTGGATTAGGAAAAAGTATTGATGAATCTTTGAGAAGTGTCCCCAAGGCAGAACCTTTCCCTCCACCGGTCCCTCAGGTTTCAGCCTACCTCTCTTGTCTTTTAAGCCCTACTGCAGAATAGTGGCCTCTCAATAAACCTTTACATCCGTGTGAAAGTTCGAATTGTTTTCCATTGCTTAGAGGTGGGATGTGGTGGGGGTGATCAGGAATTCTGAGATTTGTAAGCGCTGCTTTCTTTAACGGAAATTGAGCCCTATTTTGAGGGAAATTAGTTTTGCAGACTTCGTTAAAAAAAAAAAAAAAAGCTAAAACTTTTGTTCACCAGCTGCTCAGCTTTTCAGTCTGGGTTTGAGCTGGAACCTGCTGCAAGCGTTTGACGGTAAGACTTTCTTTGCCGATACATTTTGGGAATCTAATATTGTTTTAGACTTCGAAAGGGGGTGTTCTTCAGGTTGCACGTTTCTAAGGGGTTTAAGCACTCCCAGGATGGCGTCCAGGGCTTAGATCTTAAGAATGTTTCTTCCTGCCACTCCCCACGCCCTTGGCTCTTTAAGGATAAAAAAAAGGAGGGGGTATATTCTTCTAATATGGTCTGAATATTTTTTGAATTTTCATTGTGTTTATGGTTTCAATATGTGCTCTGATATTAAAAGTTGAAGTACAAAGAGCAACACTAAAGTTCCCAAACTTGAGTAGCTCCTCTATAGGGATTATGGGTGAATGCATTAAAGGCTTTATCCAAGGAGAAATTTAGGCAACCATCTCCATAAACAGTAACCAGAAATATTTACGTAATATAATGGTGTCTACTAAAAGCATTATGGAAAATGTCAGACAAGGCGGACTAAATAAAGATACACTGGATCTACACAGATCAACAAAAAAACATCCATAAAGGTCCCCTTTTGGTTTCCATTACAGTGGTTTAGAGGGAGCAAAGCAATTGAGAAATGAATGGGTTTGAATTTAACCAGTGTGCTTCAGGTAACTAGTAAGTAGCAAACACAAACTTTTCATCTCCAGGAGCTGCCAATTCTCCTTGAACCTGTCCAGTGATTGTGCTGGTTTTTTCTCACTTACTGTGTCAGATGTTAACAACATGCCCAGAAATTTCTCTACAACCTGCCTCAGTCAGTCAGCCTCTGGAACTATGGGGCTAGAAGACTGGGAAAGAAAAGTTAGAAAAGATTAGAAAAAGGAGTCTCTTTGAAAAGCACACAATTAAAACAAAGCTAGCAGGAAAGGTCTTTTTAATTGGAGACCCAAAACACAGTATCAGTAAAAATGATGAAGTCTAGATTTCTAACAGAAAACATAATATAAGAAACATGTTACTTGAAAAAGTGTGGTTCAAAGAAGAAAGAAAGAAGGTCTTGATGCAGTCCAGTATTAAATATGACATTTTTTATTTTCTCGGAATTCCCAAATATATATTAATTATTCCATAAAGTGTTTTTTTTTTCAAAATTTTCACTTCCTAGAACATTTGGAATAAGAAAAAATATTGATTTTTATTTTCTAAGCCACAGGAAAAAAATTTAAATGTCCTAACAACAGGAAAGATTCCTAACATTCCCTATAACAACTACTTCAGTGTCCACATCTATATCCCAATACTGAAAGATGACTTTTTACATTTAATGGCTAATTATATTATGAAGAATGGTAAAAATTACAAAATGTATTATAGAATTTTTGTAGCTTTCATTTTAAACTATAAATAGTCTGGTGTTTATCCTGTATTTATAATATATTTGAATTTTCCTGAAAAATATTCTATTAATACCAGTATTTCATGCAAAGTTTTAATATCAAGCAGTGCATTATAACAAGAGCTTGAATATATGAATAATGTAAGCTGCTAGTCTTTTCCAGAAAAAGTAATCAAAACTATTTAAGCATGTGCTAGGCTCTTTAAATTTGACAAATATGTACATGTATTATTCCTTTTGCTTAACAAAACAATATTCAATAGTAAAGGCAGCTTTTTTTTTAATTAAGATATTTTATTTCAAAGAGACTAGAACTTAAATTAAGCAACCTGAAAAGTTTGTTTAAATTTTAAGAATCATGATGCTTCTTTTAAGAGTTGCCATTCTTCTGCACATTTGTGTCATGAGGTATGATGGGAAAAATATTTAAAATTAAGCATAATCTTTAGCTAAAGATATTATAAACTTTGCCTTGCATTTTATCTGCCAGACAAATTTACTTCGGTAGCATATAGCCATGATATACGAATTTATGTATGGGAAATTAAATCACAATGGAATTTGTCTATGAAACTTGTGCTGTACATAAAAATATTTTTTCTACTAGATTTCTCCAAGAAATGAACAGTTCTGTCTTTCAGTACATTCTTCTGAAGTAAAAAAATTTTTAAATATATTAAAATATGCTAAATACTCAATGGTAATTTATGTGATTTATGATGCACTCCATATTTAAGAACTAAGGAACTGCCCTTCTCCAGGAATTATGCAATGTAGTATTTCAGGAACAATTTTGCTATGGCTAATGCATATTATTAGGTGATTCAATATACCTTTACTGATTTTTAAAATAAGTTGCTATTTTTACATAACACTGGTTGGTGCTTTCACGATAAATTTGTTATGTTTCTATATTACTAAATGAATACTTAACCCTTATTTCAAAAAAGTGTGAAATAATACCCAATATACTTTGTTTTCCTAATTTCTGTCTTCTTCCTACATTTAGTTTTCTTTCTTTCATAAATTGGTGGTTTTCTTCATTTCAAGTATCATCTAGTAAATAATGTTCAGAACACTATCATGAAATACAGATTATGAGTGATAATTTTAAATTTATAAGATTTAATTAAAAATTAAAAATATTTGCAATCTTTCATTATTCCAATTCCCTTCCACATACATTTTATGACATTTTAATCATCCTTTGGTGTGTATGTAAGGAGTGTCAAAATGAAGAGACACCGACCACCTCTCAAATTTCAAAAACGTCTAAATGAACTTCCTTTTGTCCACCTGTTTTAAATCCAGAATTATTCAACAGTTTTCTTATAATGCACATGGGAGATAATTACATTCAGTTCCTACATTTTCATTTGCATTCACCTTGTATGTTATTTTTGTTGATAAATGTATCTCACGTTGGCTCCCTTATATACCTAGCTGTAAGAAGTATAGGCATACTAATGCAAGACAGTTCCATAATGAAATGCTATATATTGCATTATATATTCTATACCATCAAACTCATAAGCATTAAGTTTCTATCCACAATTTAAGGGAAATAAACCATTTATTTCTCCCATGTCATAAAAAGCAACATTATCCTTTTAAGTGGACTGAATTTAGAACAAGTTCATAAATCTCGGAGAAAAACATCATTCGAAACTAAACACGGGAATTATAGGTAAAACCTTAGTCTTCTGTTTTGAATTTTCCAACTTGAAGAGTTTAACAAGTACTAATGTAATTCTGGCACAATGGTAAGTTATTCTTCTGTGTTTTTATTTTTCATGCTTCATCAATTTGTAGCATGTTTTATTCTTAAAATGTTCTTTCATTTTGAGCTTGAATCACTAAAACTCTGTGTTTTAGCTGTGTTGGTATGGCTCTCCCAAAATATTTAATTGCACACTCTAGTTTTATATGATTCCAACTCAGCAAAGAAACACCAGCTGCCTTTGATATCAACACTTTTGTGTGTAGGAATAAAAAAATGTGTATCTGTGTACTATACAAAATAGTTTAGTTAAAGCAAAACACATGAGGTATTATAAAATATTTTGAAGAGTTAGTATTAGTACCTTGATAAGCTCAGATGTGTAAAAGATTTTCAGAATACAGAGTATTTTTACACAAGGTAATAGCCATATGAAAATGGATCAAAACAAGAATGCAAATGATTAAATGACAACTATTTGCTTCTGTCTCACTTGATGTAAGGAATTAGAAAGATGACAGGAGCACAAAATAGGCCAAGGGAAAACCAGAAGAAGGCGTTTAGCAGGTGAAAAGACAGAAAAATAAGATAATCTTAAATATATGAAAAATAATTATATATTTGATAATACAAATATGTAATTCATAAGCCACATACATTTACAATAATGGTAAAAAGGTCCCAGGTGCATGTTTTAGTTCAATTGGAATTTTAAAAAAGTAATCAGAAAGGTTTATGTTTAAACATATGCATGGCATTTATATTTTTGATAAAAGAGATACTAACAAAATACTGTGCTGAGAAACAGTTTCAAGTAATCAGGTACATATAATGTAAAACTTAGGTACAGAGGGGGCCAATGCCCAGACATGTGCAAGCTCCTGAGTATCTGAAATTCTGAGTAATTGGTGCTTTCTTGACTTACAAATCTGTAACCTGAAACTCATTGTAGTCAATTGTTTTTCTAAATTTTATTTATTTTTAGAGAATGATTTCTGCTAAGTTGGGGTAACAGTATATGGGAAGGGAATAAACTGGTTTTCAAAAGCTTTCAGTGGCTGAGAAAAAAGAAAAACAAGAAACCTACTGGGCCAACTGCATCTTAGAGCACTTCAAAGTACAAGGGATTCCAACAGAATCAAACACTAACCAGAACCCTGAAGGAGTATCAGTTCTGAGCCCAGGGCCCAGCATAAGGCAATTACTCATACCATCAGCTAACACTCATTTCCACCAAGTACGGAGACCTGCGATCAAAGTGAAGTTTTCTCTACATTAGGTGAGAACACATAAATATGAGATGAAACTTCTTCAACACAGAATAACACAGAAAAGTCTTTCCCCCTATTTGGCTTATTCATTTTGCATGACCCTTGCCTAATGACTTGAAGGGCAGGAACCACCTTGTTCCAACTCCATGTTTCTAATGACTAATTCTTGAGGCATAAATAATGAACAGGGAAAGAGGGATGTGACTAAAATGGTCAAAACAATGTTAGAATACTTTATGATAAAATACAGTAAAACTTACTACTGATCTTGAAAGTAGACTACATGGTAATGGGAAACCTGAGAGTTTCTTCCTCTAATCTAGAGCAACTGTAGTGATATGCTGCACAAATGCAACAGCATTTCTGCAAATAACTTATTAAGGATGATTATGTGTGCTGGCGACAGTGAAGTTAATGTTCCTATGGAGACATAATCAAAGTCAATTTAAATAACTTTCACCCATAATCAAATACAGTAAAACCTCTACTTACCACAAACAACTTTAATATTTCCCTGATATGTTAAATACAGAGAGATAAAAATGGCACAATTATGACTTTCCAGGATAATTCCTACATTTTGTTTCATGACAGCTCTCATTTGTGGACCAGTATTACCTGTCAATCAATAGCTAATGAAATGGATTATTCCAAGTTTTGTTCTTAGTCAAATCTT